CACTTATTTATTCAGAGGTCTACAGCCTTTCTCGCTTGCTCTTTATATATCATACATTTGAGCTCTGCTCTCTCCCTGACAAACGTGTTTATATAGCTGCTCTTCCGCGTACCTCGTCAAAATGTATTTTTTGACCAGAACATGAGTTAAGAGAGCCATGACCGATTGAGAGCAGCCGATGCGTACCGAGTCATATGCGCCGTAACAATTCGCATAATGGCCGTTCGTTGTCGTTGTTTAAATGGCGTTGACGATGCTGCCAGCCCTTCCCAACTACCACCGCGTTCGTAGCTATTTCTTTTGTCATAAAAATTCTCACGCAGCTGTGGCTTCATGAATGTTTGTTCTTGTTTTTGGTATTTCTTGCATGAGTTTGGTTGTTGAGAACACATTGGTTATTTGTAAAATAGTAGAAATACAAAATAAAGTATCTGTTTTGCCTGATTATTTCAGATTTCCGTACTTAATTTAAAATATACTCTGCTGCGGTCAGGTTCGTCAGCGGAATCGGCATCAGTCATCGTTGTAGATGAGACAAATTAGCAAAACTCGCGTGCACATGTGGCCGCATTTTTACACGGCATATTGAATTTGGAAAGCGTATATTAAGTGGGAGCTTTCGTGCACGGTTTTCGATAAACGCTATTCAACAATTCGGTTACATAAATAAAAAGCAAATTGGCGAATTTTGTTGTTCGATTTATAAAATTAAAACTGTAATAATGGTTTTTTTAGGGCATGAACGGAATTAGCATTTTTCGGGGTTGCAGACTGTACTTGCGAGCATTCTTTGGCTTCGTTGTCATGTCTTCTTCGATCTCATTTTTAGTTTGCCTGACCGCGCTGAAACATATACATATTTATGTACATAAATACACTACGCGCCTGTTAGCAGCTCGGTTACATATAGCGCGCACCGTCTTCAAAAGAAGCAGAACTCAAAATTTGGTATTTTTCAAATTATGCGCTAAAAATGTACACGAAAGCTTTTATTTACCTTTCAGCAAAAGCTGGAGCATATTTCTGTTGCAATTTGTTAAAAAAAAACCTAAGGTAAAGTCTCCCTTGCTCATATGATTATCATGTGCTAAGAAATAGTTTTCGCATTTTCTGACAAACGTAATTTTGATTTGTGCCTCTTGAAAACTGTGTGCGATATGTACATACATACATATGTATGTTCATACCCACGTGTATGTACATACCGTCGTTTGAAGTACAAAACCGCCTAACGTCGTTCTGCAAAACTACGTAACTGGCATTTTTGGCCGAAAATTGGATTTGCTCGCCGAAGCTCTTGGCTCAAGCCAAGGCGCATCCATACAAGGTGGTCGCAATTGCATATAAGTAAAAGTCCCGTGTATTTTGTTATTGCTTTTGGGAAATCTTTAGCTATTTGTGCAACGATTTAGGGGTGGAGGGGCGGAGGGGGAGGGAGGGGCGTGGCTCCCTAAACGAAAGAGGATGGACGCCGCGTTATGAAAAGTCACCCCTCACCCTCCTCAGCAATTACATATGTATGTATTGTAAGTCACATTTTCAGATGCAAATACATGTCATTTAAAAGCACTTTATTGTTTATATTTCTTTTTTTAAGTTCAGCACTTTACCTAATCAGCGCCAAATAAATCCACATTTCAAATTTCGTACGAAAAATATGAAAAATCTACAAACTTTAACATTTGCACCCAAAAATTTTAAAATTTTTATTTAGAATTTTTAGAAAAATTGTGGGCATGCATTTTTGTAGCCCATTAAATTTTAGTAGGTTAAAGTGCAAATTTCCAGACGCTGGAAAATCGCGTTGATTTTTAATATTTTTTTTCTGATGGTGCTAGGCATTTTCTCCCATACAAACGAAATTGTCGAGCATATTTTATATGGAAAAAAATGCACACCGTCAGCCAAAAAAATTATTAAAAATCAACGCAATTTTCTAGCGTCTTGAAATTTGCACTTTAACCTTCTAAAATTTAATAATTTTTGTACGAAGTTTGAAATATGGATTTATGTGGCGCTGGTAAGGTAAAGTGCAAGACTTTCATAAAAAAATATCAACATTAAATAAACAAGATCAAAATTGCCAAAACAAGTCAAAATGTCACTTGACTTAATCAGCTGACGGCAAGGGCACAAATACCCAGCTATAGCCTATGCATGAAAATATGCAAGAATTTCTCTACAGCGATGTCGTACGTAAGTAATGTGCTCGCATGCCATATATTGCAGTTCATGAGCAATAAGCGACCTCCAAAAATCAGTACTAATTTGTACTGGAACCTGCAAATTTTTACTGGAAAAGAGTATGATAACCCAAAAAATTTGCAAGAGAGCACTGAATCGAGAGCGTAACTACACGGGAGAGCTGCAAATTCTTGCTAGTGAAATTTCTACTAGCAGAAATTAGCTAGCAGAAGAAGAAGAAGAATAAGTGTCAAAAGCCGCCATTTGTTGAATTGGTTTAGCACCAGTGTTGCCACTTCGGCCTTTTTCAGGCTAAATTTAGCTTTTTTTGAATGCATTTAGCCTTAAAATAAGTGATTTAGCTTTTAGCTTTTTTTAAGCTTTTTCTTAATTTCATTTGGCCTTTTCTAGCCTTTTTTCTTTTTACTTACTTAAGTTCTTTATTGAATCGATATTTAGAAAATAATATTTGTCATAAAAAAATGTGTCATGGTAACTCTAAAAATAGTAGTAGATATCACAGCAAAATTTGTTTATGGTAACTCTGAAAATAGTAAGCACAAAAAAGTTATCGACTATCGTAAAGCGCAAACCGGTTTGCGTATCACTATTAGTTGGTATTTTTTAACTGAGTGGCGTCGGAAAAGAGCTGTGCTTTGTGCTACGAATTTTTTATTTTAACCTCAACCAATGGATAGGTAAATTCCAGTAGATCTTAAATTGTATTTTCTCTTTTAATGTTTTTTTTTTTTTGTTAAAGATACTTGACGAAGCGATCGGTTGAAGAAATTTTGCATGGAAGTAGCGCCAGTGATTCTGATTGTGAAATACATTCAAAATTGTATATGTAGGTATGTACATGATACAAGTATTTAAAGGTAAAACCGTTCGCTGGACTTATATTTTTTGTTTATATTTTGAAGTTTGTCTACTTTATAAAATTGAAATTTTCAGAGCAACTACAACGCTGAAAGTAAATCCTTTAAATTTTTGTATCATGGTTATGTACATATAAAGATTTATGCCAAAGTGTAATGTTTGAAACTCAATATATTTGAAAAAGAAAAAAAGGCGTGAGTACTAGGTACTCATGAAATTTGATGTGTATA